CGCATGTCCCCATCTGTGCCCACTCACGTCCCCACATCCCCCGCCCAGCACAGTGCCAGTCTGTCCCCACCCGTGTCCCCATGTCCCCTTCCCTGCCACGGCACCTGCCATGTGTGTCACCTCTTGTGTCCCCATGTTCCTCCCCAGCATGGGGGCCGCCTGTCCCCACGCCTGTCCCCCACACGTGTCCCCAGGTCCCCTGCCTGTCCCCACTTCCCCCTCACAGCACGGTGACTGCCTGTCCCCAAGTGTGTCCCCATGTCCCCTCCCTTGGCATGGCATTCCCTGTCCCCATGTGTGTGTCCCTGTGTTCCCCCCAGCACAGTGCCCACCTGTCCCCATCCATGTCCCCTCTCGTGTCCCCATGTCCCCCCATCCCAGCATGGCACCCACCTGTCCCCACACGTGTTCCCATGCATGTCCTCACGTCCCGTACCTGCCCCACGTGTCCCCTCCCATGTCCCCTGGTGTCCCTCACACACACACTCAGCCCCACACATTTGTCATCTCTGTATTGCCTGGGGACCCGGAGGTGGCCGGGGGTCCCCACGGGGGTGACAAGGGGGTCTATGTGGGGATGACGCCGGTGGCCAGGAGGATGATGAGGACGAGGATGATGGTGCCCACGATGCCGAGGATGATCAGCAGCTTCATGTTCTTCCACCAGTAGCGCCGGGCCACCTTCTGCGACGTCGTCTTGAAGTGCTCTGACTGCGGGGACATGGGGACAGCCCTGACACCCCGAGACCCCCACTGCCACCTGGGGTCACCTGCTGTGACCCCATGGGACCTGGTGCCCCCCATCCCGGAGCCCCCTGGGGACGCTGTGCCCACCCTGGGAGCTGGGGTCACCTCGGGGACCTGGTGCCACCCAGGGGGACCCAGCTTTACCCAGGGACCCTGTGCCCAAATAGGGACCTGGTGCCACCTTGTGGACCCTGTACCACCTCAGGAGCCCCGTGTCCAACCTGGGGACCTTGAGCCATCTACGGGACCTTGTGTCATCTCGGGAGCCCTGTGCCCAACTTTGGGGACCCTGTGCCACCTTGGGGACTCTGTGCACACCCTGAGGACCTTGTAGCAAACCTGGAGACCCTGTGCTACCTTGGGGACCTAGTGCCCAACCTGGGGACCCTGTGCCCACCCTGGGAACACCATGCCACCTGAGGGACCCTGTTCCCTCCCCGCTGTCCCCGTATCCCCCCCC